CACACACAGCCCTGGCACACACAGCCCCCGGGCCCACGCTGGCACACGCAGCCCTGGCACACACAGCCCCCGGGCCCACGCCGGCACACGCAGCCCCGGCACACGTTCTCTCCACACAGGCGCTGCTCAGCCAGGCGAGTTGGGGACCTGATGCTGACCGCCACAGGGAACACGCGCATGGTCCTCCTTTAGCAGCCTGAGGGCTCATGGGAGCACAAGCCAGGTCTGCCACAGAAGAACCACCAGCACGGCTCCCCGCACACCCCGAACAGGCGGGAGCAGAGGAGAGATGGTCCTGCAACCCCCACACAGGGAGCCCCACCCCCAACAGCCCCCCACCCCACTGCCCAAGCAGACCCGCCCACCTGCAGACGCCCGATGACCGCGTGGTGTGCGCTGCACATGCTGGCCAGAGAGGAGCTCTCCACCTGGATCTCCACGGTCTGCACGGGCCCCGCTGCACCCAGGTCGGTCACAGCCACCTGCCACACAGAAGAGCCTCACCGCCCAGCCATGGCCCTGCCCAGCCATGGCCCTGCCCAGCCCAGGCCAAGGGCAGCTCCGCCTGCCCTCAAAGGCCCTGGTGGCCCCCACGCCCAGGCCTGGCTCTCCCCACCCCACGAGAACTTGCATCAGAAAGACCAGCCAGCCACCCAGCAGTCACCCAGCTGGAACACGTGTGCAGAAGTCCTGTTTCCTTGGAATCTAGAGCCACGACACTCACTCTACGGCCAAGGGACTCCGTGCCCGCCTGCCAATCCCGGACAGCCCATGCCTAGACTCCCCTACGGCACACTGGGCATCCCGGGTCACCTAACAGCAGGGCCAGGGCTTCAGATGTGAAACAGGGAGCAGGCTGGGTGATCCGTCCCCCGGAAACTCCAGCTGCAGGAAGCTGAAGACAGAACCGACGAGGACAGCCACAGGCAGGACAGGCCGCGGGCCAGGACACGCTGGCTCATTCTCCACACAGAGCGCCAAGGACGGGCCCCACCTGGGAACTTAGGAAGGCCGTTGCTCCTGGCACTTCTTTCTGGAACCCTGGGGTGTTTTAGGGCTGTGAGCACTCACGAGGCCAAGAGCACTGGTGGAGTCACCGTCAGGGCCCAGAATCAGGGCCCAGGGACGCCCCAACCTGGACACGCTGGCCTGGCCTGAAAGGCCATGTGGCAGCCAGGGACCAGCCCACCACCTTGGGGACATGTGTCCTGGCAGCCTGGGCTGGTCCGCAAGCCCGCTGGGTGGTAAGAGTCTGCCAGATGTGGCTGCAGGCCTGCCACCATTAGCACGTTGGGAAGGAAGGGGTGTGTGAGAGAGGGGCCAGAGCCCGGGCAGGCCAGCACGGTGTCTCGGGACCCCTGGGGGCAGCTTCTGCAAACGGGCGGGAGTTTGGGTGCCTGAGGACCAGTGTCAGCAGGCCCCGCCCCCGGGGGTGCTCACTGCCACCAGACACAGCTGGGGGGTCGGCCACGAGCGCCAGCAGTGCCCAAGGTGGGGGCCCCCACATGAAGGTCAGCCCGGTTCCCACACAGACCCCACGTCCCCACAAAGGCTGTTAGCACAGCCGGGCCTCAGACAGCACGTCAGGAAACTCTATGCAGTGGGGACCGGCCACCGATCCCCTCAAGCAGCACGGACACAGCCGGCTTGAGGATGCCACTCAGAGACACTTCTCCCCAGGGTCCAGACCCCACATGCCTCTCGGACGGTCAGGTGCACATCGGCGCCATCTGGGGCCACTCCCTGGACCGAGGACAGCCGGCGGGCCCGCACAACGTCCAGGGCGGCGTTCTCCGCAAGGAGCCACTGGAGGGCAGCGCAGCCCAGGGACGTGCCTGCTGGACAGGGGACTGCGGTGAGTTCAAGCAGGGCCTGTAAGAGGGAGGAGCCCGATGTCCACACACCCTGAAGCCGCAGCAAAGGCATCCACCACCACCAACCTGAGAGACAGTTCCCCAAGGCCGCTCTCAGCAGCTCTGCAGACACGTGGATCGTGGCCACCAACGGAGGCAGGAACTTGGCCCGCAGGGAAGCCGGTCCTGTCGGCTCGCTGCGGGGCCCGAGGAGAGATCCCAAGAAAGTGTCCACAGGGTCACACAGGGGGCCGAGCAGCCCGGGGGCCTGCGTGTGGGGTGCGGCCAGCCCAGGGAAGCGCAGGCACCAGAGCATGTCCACGGTGTGCTGGCTCAGGGGCAGGCAGATGCCGTCCTGCTCGGGCAAGACATCAGGGCGGCACTCGTCCAAAGAGGGGCCCTTAGAGGACTCAGAGGGGGCAAGCGCCCCGCCCACGACCTCCCTGAGACTGTAATGGAGCGTGCAAGACACGGTCAGGGGCAGGTGCAGGATGCCATCCTCCCCAGGGCCCAGGGGCAGCGTCACTTCCCGCCGATCGCCAGGACCCAGCCGGTCCACAGGGATGGTATAGGTGGTGGCCACGCTGGCCACATCAGAGTCTGAGGCAGAGGCGCTGGTCAGCACCCGCACACACAAGGCCCAGCCCCGGTCCAGACTGAGGCCACTACTGTTCTCCAGCCGACAGGTGGCCATCAGCACGTCCTGCAACTGTGGGTGGCTCCAGGCGGTCGTCACGGTGCAAGAGATGGGCCTGGGGCCCTCCCGGCTGGACAACAGGATGCAGCTCACGTTCATGGCTTCGTTGAGGCACGTTAGGGCCTTGTTCCGCTGGTCAACAGTCTTCCTCAGAGAAGACACCCTGGAAAGAATGAAGGTGGCACCCACGGGAAGGAGGCACACCGGTGGGCCCCTCGTCCCCTGCTCCCAGGACTGGAAGGCCCAGGACCTCACTCCTTGCCCTACGCCCCGTGAGGAGCGGGCCACTGCCTTGGGGAGCAGCAATGCAGCCCCAGCCACGCCGAGCCCCGCCCAGCGGCCCCCAGCGTCGGACCCCGCCCCCTCCCAGGCAGCGGAGCCACGGCGGGGCAGAGGATGGGGCTGCCATAGCCCACACCCAGCAGCCCTGGCCTGCTCACTGGGCTCCTGGCCACCGCCAACCTCGTCGGTGCCGCGTGGCCCGGGGTGTCCGCACATCCCCAACCACGACCCTCATCGGCCCCGTTGATCCTCTGCGGCAGCAGTGCGACGGCTGAGGACGGCAGGTGCTTCAGAAACAGCCCGAAACCACAGGGCGCCGCACAGAAGGGCAGGCAAGGGCTGAGCAGAGCCCGTTGCTCTGAACAGGTCAGAGGAAAACTCCACTGGGGCCTCTGCTGAGACAGGGAGGCAGCGGCCTCCGAGGAGAGGGACCCGCTGGGGGAGAGCCGAGGGAACCGCTAACGGAGAAGCTGCAGGCGGGGTACGGAAACGGGGGACATCCCTTTCCCCGATGCAGCCTTCCACCATGCAATGCGCCACCTGGGGTTCTCCCTGAGGTCAGAGGCCTGGACCCACGCTGCCCCCACAGACGCAGCACCGGCCTCCGCCCGAGCCACTGGAGGCACAGCTGCTCACCTCTCAGAGACGGTGCCAATCCCAGATAGCAAGTCCTTAATCTTCTGGCCAGTACTGGCCGCAGCGGCTCTAGTGGGGCCCGGCACCTCCGAGCTCAGCGGCAGGCGGCAGGTCATCAGGCGGCCCCTGGTGGACAGGGCCAGCAGCCTCACGCCACCTGCAGACGCACACCCATGAGACCCGGTCACCGGGCGGGGGAGAGGCAAGCTGCTGGGGGCACAGGATAGAGGTCGTCAGCGCACTGGCCCCCTGGCAAGAACGGGAGGGTCCCGGAGACGGCCCTGAAGAGCCCAGATGCGCACCAGGGACCGGGCAGAGCCTCTGCCCACGTCCATCCCAGCACACGTTCCGTAGGGTCCTCCCTAGGGGGGAGTGCTGGCACACAGCTCAGTGCCGTGGGGAAGGGGTCTGGGAACGGGACTAAAGGGGGCCGAACAAGGACCCACGTGGCCCGATCAGCCAGGTGCAGCTGGCCTGCACCTGCCCCCATGGTCTGCAGAGGGCAAGGCGGCACAGGCGCCCCATTCTCACTCTGCGCTCACGGGGCCTTTCCAGAAGCCTGTGGTCTCTCTAGCATCGGCTGGTCCCCTTCCCCGCCCCTGGGCTCCATCTCCTGCAACTGTCTGCTTCTCCCCCACGCCCAAGGCCACCGAGGCCCCAAGCCCTGGGCCGTGGTGTGGCAGCCCAACAGCGAGGCACGGAACATGCACGGGCCCGTTCCGCAGCCGACCACGCGGCTGTGCTTCCCAGCGGCACAGACACTGGCCTTGTCCTTGCTTCCTCCATGAGGAGTTCCACCCCGTGGGCCGGGGGAGGGGGGCACCGTTCTCGCCCCCCAGCGCTGTCCGGGGAAGACACGTCCAGCACACAGCGCCAGCAGAGCGGCCGGGGGCAGGCCACACAGGAGGCGGGCGAGTGCTTCCCAGCCTTCAGAAACACGCCGGCCTTGACCAGAGCCCTCCCGGGACTCCCCACCACAGAGCACTGCCGGGGAGCGATGCCCCGCCCCTACCCACACAGGACACACACCAGCACGCAGCCCCCGTCCCCGAGGCAGGCGTCAAGCACCAGCCTAGGGCAGCTGGGGAGAAACCTGCCCGTGAGGTTTGCCAAAGATGGGAACAGAGCAGGGAGGTGACGACGTGCCAGTTCACAGCGCAGAAGACGAGCCTGCGAAACTCCACCCCCAGCACGACAGGCTGTCGCGTCTCGGGCTCACGTAGCACCACCTCGTACCTTCGGGCACCTCGGACAACACCGAGAGGGTGACGACGCTGCAGACGCCCAAGCCGGCTGCACACAGCAGAGACGGCGGGTCTCCCAGGTCCCCGCTGGGGACGCCTCCCTGAGCCAGGTCCACGACACAGAGCTCCGAAGTGGTGCTGTGGTAGACACGGCCACCTCCGCCACAGGCCGCACAGAGCACGGGCCCCGGCAGCCGGTACTCCCGCAGCTCCGGCACCAGAGTCCCAGCCTCGTCCCAGCCGGCCTTGATGGCCAGGACCCGGCCGTCATGACCAAGTGCCACCAGGCAGTCAGGGTGTGTGTCTCCCACGTCCTCGGCCAATGACTCTGTCTTCACGGCCCCAATGAAAACGACGGGTTCCTCCAGGTGATGGAGGATCTTGACAAGGGCCTTCGGGTCGCCAGGGGACAACTTTGAGGTGACCAGGGTCTTCAAGACCACACAGCAGAGCTGGCCATCGGGGAGACCACAGAGGATCACAGGTGATTCCAGAAGGGAGGCGTCAACTCCAAAGAGTTGCCCAAAGAGGGTCCGTTCCAGCAAGAAGGCCCCAGAGCCCTGCGCACGGCTGTGCAGAGCGCTGAGGCCCGCTGGGGACACACAGCACAGCACTGGGAGGAAGCGGGCGGCTGTGGGCTCCCCAAGGGGCCCAGTGAGGGGGCTGGAGGTGGACAACTCCACCTCGCCGACCTGGCCTCTGGGTCTGGCGTCCTCTCCCGGACGGGGGCACTCAAACAGCTGTACCTTCCAGTGGGCAGGGCCCTGTGCCAGGGTGACAAGCTTATCACCAACCACAGTGAAAGTACACAGAGTGGCATCTGGCAGGAGGCAGGCATCTGGGTCCACGGAAATCACAGCGCAAGGAGGCTCGCCGTCCTCACTGTCCTGGTCACCCCCGTCATCTTGGTTCACAAACCTACAAGAAGCAGGGAACTGTGAGAACACAACTAAGCTGCTTCCCAACAAACCACCACTGAACACACTGGGCCTGCAGTCTTCCCAGGCAGTGACGTCGGTGCCCATTACGGCCCCTCAGCACTGTGGGGAAGGCCCACCTGGGAGCAGCTGGCCTGCCACACGACCTCCCGCCTGCCCGAGGACAGCTGTGGTGAGCACCCGTCACCCTGGGACACACAACAGGAGGCACCCAGGCTTCCAGAAACGGGTTCAGGAGGAAACTTCTCGTCCGAGCAGAACCGTGAGACCCCACCCCACCCCCACCGAGGTCTAGTCTCTGAACCGCCCCACCCCGCATTTTTAGGTCCTGAGACAGCAGCGAGCATGGGCCCGCGTCTAGACCTGCACTGGCGCACAGGAGAGGCCGAGCTCCTCAGGACCGGCCCCCTCTAGCCTCCCGTTCAGGGTGCGCTGGCGGAGACCGCTAACTACAGAGACCCACCGAAGGCCGGAGGGGACAGCATCCTGCCTGGGGCTGCACACTGTGCAGCCTGAACCCCATTTACTAAGGATTCTCCTCGAGACGAGCCTACTGGAGGATGCCCGGGCTGGGGGCCGGGGGCAGCCCAGACTTCAGAGCTGGCCCTGCGTCCTCCGGCCCCACAGGGGACGGCTGGTGTGTGCTGTGACCCCGATCTAGACCACGCAGGGCGAACAGGTCACAGTGGCCAGGGTAAGGAGGCCAGGACCAGAGACGAGGAGGAGTCCCCGAGGCCGAGCCGGTCTCCGCCACCTGTGCCGCCCACTGTTCCCCATCACCTGCTCTCCGGGTCCGGCGACAAGCAGTAGATGCCCTTCTGGGCGCACAGGACGTAGAGCAGCCTGGGGACGGCCGAGAGCTCCAGGTGCCACACCTGCGCGGGGAAGCTGTACACGGCCTGCGCGCGGGGAGAGGGCGGCGTCGGGCCGGCCGGAGGGCGAGGGGAGGCGCGGCCCAGCACCCGGCCTCCGAACCGGCAGCCCCCTCGGGTCTCCGCGCCCCCGGCGGCCCGACCCCCGCCTCCCCCCCGCAGTCTCCTCCCCCGTGCGGCCCCGCGCTCACGGTCAGCAGCCTCCCCTCCTGCTCGTAGACGGAGACCCGCTCGCTCCCGGCGGACACGAAGAGCGCGGCCCCGTGGCACAGCACGCGCGGCGGGCCCGCCGCCAGGCCCCCGAGCGGGCAGCGGAAGCTCTCGAGGTACTCGACCCGCGGCTCGAGGCCGGCCATGGCGTGGGCCGGGAGCTCCGTCCGGGACCGCGGGCGCTTTACGGCCGCCCACGTCGCGGCGCGACCTCCGCCGTAAAGCGGCCCGGCGGGGGGGCGGGGCCGGGTCGGCGCGCGGGCTCCGCGGCTCGGGGGTGGGGTCCCGGCCCGCGCTCCGGCGGGTGGGCGGGGGCGCGCCGCTGCGGGGAGGCCGGCGGACACGGCGGTTTGCCAAAGGGCCAACGTGTTTGAAGCCAAACGCGGGACACCGCCCCCCCCGGCCTGCGCTCGTGGCCCTCGTCAGTCCTGCGCGCCGCCCCAGGCGCCAGCCGGGGTAGGGGACTCCGCGGCCTGCAGCCCCTCCCACGCCGGTGCGGGGCCTCGGGCCCGGATGGTTGGGACCGAAGTCGCGTCGCGTCTCCCTTGTGCGCCCCGGATCAGGGCCGAGTCCGGGACCTGCCGGGACGAGGGCTCCCTCGGGTCGGAGCCCGGAGCCGGGGGTCAGCGGAACGCCACCTCCTCGGGGGCAGGCGGCCCGCTCCGAAAGCGATTTTGTGGGTTTTCGGGGGGCGGCTAGATTGCATGGGGGATGGGTCACCTCCCTCAGCAGCTGAGTCTCCGACGCCCACTCCTCCCTCCACGCCTGGACACAAGCTGTCCGTGGGTGTGTTGGTTTGGCTGGACGATGGGTCACCGGCACTCAGTCTGGGGATGAGGGGGGAGCGAGACACCGGTCTCCCTGGCGGCCCCCCTCATTTTCCCCAGGGAGGGGCCAGGTGCTCTCTTCTGGAGAGTGTCCCTGAAGGGTGTCTGTGGAAGGAGAGGTCAAGCACACCTCACTCCTTTAAGCCATGGGAGAACCTCCGAGGCTGGACACCTGTGAGCCAAAGAGGCTCCCGTGGGGAGTGACCGAGCACAGCGCGCTGCAAGACGTGCCCTAGGCTTGGATTGAAGCTGGCCCCTCTTGTGGCGGTTGAGGTGGGCACTCAGCCCCCAGGGCCGTGGGCAGCCACGGCTCGTTTCTGGGTTGAGTGCATGTGAACGTGGCACTGGCAGTCTGTTGTTTGCCCTTCCTGCTCCCAGATCGAGTCTGGGCTGGGAACACCATCCAGGATGCGGGGGGACAGGCATAAGGAGGACGGCGGACTCCCACCAGGCCTTCGTGACTGGGGAGTGGGGGCAGGCTCCTCTGCTAGGAGAGCGTGCAGGCCTTCTGGGCCAGTCAGACCGCCCTGCCTTGTGAACTGCCCGCTCACACTAACTCCCAGCTTAGCCCTCCCAGGACGAGGGTCCTGCGGAAAACGAGCACATGGGGAAGTGGATCTGGAAAGAGGTGGGTTGAGCCGGGCGGGCCTCCGCCACACCAGTTTAGCCCCTGGCTGGCCAGGATGCCCCTGCAGACACTGGTAGGTTGGGTCCCTACTCCCTTTGCTGTGACGTAAGATTTACGACCAACGGTCGATCTGGACAGAGGGCCCCGGAGTGCCGATCCCTGGCTGACACACACACCAAGGGCTGAAGGCTGGCGCGGACAGCGGAGGGGTGATGCAGAGTAAGGCGGCCGCCCGCATGGGTGTGCGAGGTGTGTACTCCTCTGTCAGTGCTCTTTACACAGCTGTGTGGGCAACGTGATCTTCCTGCAGCCCCACGACACCACCAGCTGGGAGAGAAGCCGTGGTGTGTGCGGGGCAGCTGCCGGCCTTGCTGGTGGCTCCTCATGGCAGCGCACCCCCTTCCCGTGGTTTCCTGAGGTCGGGGCCGCTCACTTCGGAGATCCAGCAAGTCCAGCGGTCTGAGATGTGCCAAGGGCCGGGTGTGGCAGTCACCCCAACTTGGGGACTGTGGTTAGTAGTGTGCACGGCACCGCACCGTTGCTGGGAGCAGCCAGGCCTGGGGGCACAGTGAGAGGCACCCAGGGACCCCCGACATCGGCAGATGCTGTATTCTGCGTACCTGTCCAGGGAGCAATGCATCCTGAGGCCAAAGGACAGGGCAGTACCCAAACACCAAGAGCGAATGCCTCTGGCTGCCATCGACAAGGTAATCTGGGACAGGCAGCGTGTCCCCTCCAGGCCTTACACCCCCACACCTGTCCAGTCTGGGGCCAGACTGCGTCCCTCATCTGCCGCAGCACCTGCCTCCCCCACGCCCCCGCCAGGCCCAGAAGCAGCCACACGGCTGACGGGAGAGCACCCGAGGGAGGCTACGCTCTCCTTCCACCCTGAGGACACGCTGGGGTCTCTATCCTTCAGCGGTCCGGATACGTCAGCGAGGACAGTGACGTGTGGAGCGAAGTCAAGCCACAGGACACAAAGCAGACTGGGATGCAGACACACACGGCGCACAGGGAAGGTCTCTGGGCCCAGGAAAGACACTCGGGAGCTCGGCAGTCGCTTCAGGGCTTTATTGGCTTCACGGTGGGACCCGAGTCCAAGTAACGCTAATGCAAACCCAGCAGACGCAGCCCTGCAGCCCCGAGCGGGCTGGAGCAGCAGCACCAGGGGCTGTCAGGAGGCCCAGGCAGCCAGCTGTGTGCACCCGGGCAGCTGAGCACGCAGTCACCCCTTGCCCGGGGTGAGAGGGTGTGTCCACGCAAGGGCAAGTAGGCTGCAGGTGGGGCTGGGGGACCCCTCCCTCCCTTCCCTGTGCAGGAGGTGGCGGCTGAGCTGCCCATGGCCAAGGCCTCTGGCAGGGTGCCCCTCACACCCTCACGCTGAGCTCCAAGTCTGTTCATCTGGACAACAGAGTGCGTCACTGAACAGAGGGACTCGGGAGCAGAGAAGTCCCAGCGCTTTTCCTTCAGCTATAAGACGAGAGGAAACGAATTACACATCTGCCGGATCTTCGAGTCACAATGCTGGCTGAAGAGAGACGGGAACCAGCTTGGGGGGTGAAGGTGACACAAGGAGAAGGACTGGGGGAGCGGGGGCCTGGGGGACACAGAGGCCGAGCTCAGGGCCCGGGGCCACCACGCCCCTCCGCAGCCTCACACTGGATCGCAGGGACCACACGACACGGGGTCCACGAGGCATGGACAGCCCCTCAGCAGGTGGCAGGGAGCCAAGCTGAGCTGCGACCGCTGCCACAAACTGGCGGGGCCCACCCTCCCCCAACAACCAGTGGCTCTGCTGAAGCCAGACCCAACCTGATTGGCCCCCGGCCCCCAGAGCAGACAAGATACTGGGTGAACCTGCAGCTGCCAGGCACAGCCTAAGACACAGAAAACAGAGTTCTCTGTCCATAGTGCCACAGGTAAGGGCGGGCCACGCAGGCCTCCCTCTACCCCCAGGGCAGAGACACGAAGTACCCAACACAGTCCACATCTGGGCCAGCCTCTCCCGTGGGTGCACTGCAGCTCAGAGACATGACCCTCATTAAGGCAAAGAGGCATCAGGGTGCCGCCCACAACCCCCCGGGGACCCCAGAGCACACGCGCAAGGCCTGACACGACCTCTGTCCTGGGACCCCCGCAGCAGTCCCAGTGACCCTCACAACTGGCCAAGCCCCTACTCTCTCCTGCAGGTCTGTTGCAATGGCTCGGTCACCATGCAGGAGGCCTGGGGCTGGGCAGAGCAATGGGGAGAACAGTGGACAGGGCACAAGGGGCCAGAGCTTCGGGTCCCAGGCAACCCAGCTCACCACAGGCCGGCCTGGCCCATTCGCAGGGTCCGATGCTTGCCAGGAGCGACCGCTGCCCTCCTACCGGACCGAGTGTGCCGCTGTGGCAGTTGTGTGGCAGGAAGGTCTCAGGCACTGAGGTTGACTTGCAAGAAGAACTGACTGTGGGTCCCTGTCCACCTTCGCCCACCCTGTGTCCACCCTGCAGCCACTCCAGGGACTCACTAGGGGAGGGAAGGAAGTGGGAACTAGTGTCTCTCAGTCCCCCTTGTATGTAGTTTTTACCTTACAAAGAAATAAATAAAAGTCTCCTGGGCAGAAGTTACTGATAACTGTTATTACAACCAACGCAGACTTTAAAAATCCCACCTGGATGTCGGGTGAGAGCAAGGAGGAGGGCGGGCAGCAAATGAACCTGCAGGTCAAGCAGAAGGGAGGCCAGCAACCCTGGGCCCACTGTGATTCCGCCAGATAATGGCCACCGGCAGGGGAAAAAGTGGCCCTCACAGGCAGGGTCTGCCCAGAGCAACAGGGACGCCAACGCTCCCACCCACAGCCACGGGAAGGGGAAGAACAAGAGCCAAGAGGAAGGGAAGAGAAAGCGGGATGGCGGCAGTCAGCCCTCTCTGCCCCCCAACCCCGGGTGATGGTTCTGGGGTGCCCAGGTCCTTCCACCACCTCGGAGGCTGGCCCCGGGCGTGCGGGGGGACCGTCGTGCCACCCCATTTAGGAGGCTGATGTGCGCCCGCAGAGCACCAGCCTGGCTCTCCCTCCAGGTTAGCCTGGTGCTGAGAAGCTTTGTGGGCCAGTGACCCGAGAGCAGCCACCCTGCCCCGCCCTCCAGGGCTGCCCACCATGGGGCCGTGGTGACAATGACCCCGGTTTCAGGGAGGGCTGGGCGGGCCCCTAGGTCCTTGGGAGGCTACACATCTCGCAGTGGCCGGTGCCCGGCTGGTTCATGAAGGTGCAGTGCTGACAGGCCCACATGGCCGCTGTGGCAGCGTGCGTGGCGCCCCCGACGGCCCCGTACTCGTGGAGGCCCGGAAGCTGCACTCCGACGGTGCCTGCGGGACGGGAAGAGAGGCTGTTGGTTGCCGTTCGCGGCTCCTAACCCGCGAGAGCTCTACCTTACTGTGCGGCCGAGGACAAGGCGGCCCGAAGACAAGCAGCCACAGGCACGGACAAACGGGGCTCTCGGGCCACGAGGGGGCCCCCGCACGCGCACACAAGCCTGCGGCACAGAGCTGGGGTCCCAGCGTGAGCCACTCAACCCCAGCGCTGTCCTCGGGCGTGCCGGGAGGAGCGTGGGTGCCCGGCGAGAGCACCACCTCCGGCTGCCCATCAGGGTGGCTGGCGGTTCGGAGCCGTCAGCGGCACAGCTGCGACCCACATGCCTGCACACATCTCCGCGTGGGCCTGTTTTCACGTCTCGGGGAAAAGCCCCGGAGCCGGCTTCCTGGACCCGAGAGGAAGTGGCTGTTTCTACAAGGCCGCCGGCAGCTCTCATGTGGCCAGCAGTGCGTGCGAGGGGACGAGGTGTGCGGGGCTCTCACCGAGGGTACATTCCACGCCCCTGCTCACGGACGCTGCTCTCTCTGTGTCAGCGGTCTAAGTCACCAGGTTCTTTTTTAATCCACGTGCAACTGACACAGGATGCTTAATTCTGGGGTCCAGCACAGGGACCTGTCAGTCCTGGCCGGGGCCCAGTGGCCTGAGCCTGCACCGCTGCAGCTGGCGTCCCTGCAGGGAGGCTGCGGCACGGGGCGCACTGCACCCCTGGCCACCCGAGGACGCAAGGTTGTGGGTCTTCCTCTTAGGCAACTGGGCGGCCACGACCGGGCCGCTGCGTTAGAACGGACAGCCCCGTAGAACTTAGGGGCAAGAGCACGCGGCACGTCGGCCAGCCCCATGACCGCTCCGCCGGCAGCCGTGCAGAAAGGAGAATGTGACCCAAAGCGCAACCAACACCGAGGCGCTTCAGACCACAGGCCCCGGGGGACTGGCACCCCCACAAGAGAACAACGTGTCCCCTCAGCTCCCTCGTGGCTTAGGCTGCATCGAGGTTTTCCTTGGCTAATTTTGGCTCTAGTATCTATCTAACTCACTAGTTTGAGAAAATGGTGTGTAAACACTTTTTATATGTACTTTCAAAGCTGTCTGAAGACAGCATTCCAGTATTTCTCAAAGCCACAGGGAAAGGGGCCGCACCAGCAGCCTGCCACCCGGAGCTCCTGGGACTGAAGACAAAGGCTCCGTGTGGGCAGCGAGGGGACTCGGGGTCCTGGACGGTCTATTCTGTACGGTTTGTCCTCCCTACCCTTCACGGAAGCTCTGAGGACCAGTACAAAGAAGGGACAAAGAAAAGCCTGAGGAGACCAAAGGTTTCTGACCTTTTGGCGCTGCGGCGAACGTAAGGTTTGTGTTTCCCTAAAACAAGGACGTTCAAATTGCCCCTATGACACCGGAGGACTGGCGTACCCTCCACATCCACGAAGCTGCGGAGCTGTGCCCACAGATCTGTGTGGCCTCGAGAGCACACCTGGCGCAGCGGTGAGAAAGTCTGTGTCCCCGACGGGCCTCCCGCAACACCACCAGAACGCGTCTGGGGTCCGAGAGGCTCTGCAGAGCACGCGTCTGGCTCCCTGCGCTCCGGCGGTGGGGGTGCGAGAGCGGAACCCTCAGGGCCGAGGAAGGGGAGGACACTTACTGCACAGCTGCTCGATGGTGGCCCACTGCTCAGACTTCTTCCACGTCTGGGCGAGCTCCTCGTTCCCAGTCCGCACGGCCTCCAGCAGCAAGCTGATGCTGTCCTGCAAGAGGCCAAACGTGAGCGCCGCGCGCCGCACGCCCGGGACGGAGTCTCCCCTGCCCCGCAGCACACACGCTTCACAAGCAAGTGAAGAACCTCACGGACCGTCCCCATGAAACAACAAACGCCACACACTTAGGTCTACAAAGCCAAGTGCTATATTTTAGAGCTGAACTTAAGTTCTTTCCAGATAGCCGTCCGTGCGGCTCTCTGTCGCGAGCAGACCTGTGTGCTCAACCACCAAGCGCTAGAGCTCACGTCCCTTATCCTGAGGGTTGGGTGCACGGACAGGGCCTGCGCTCCTGGGGTCCATCCTCCGCCCTCACGCTCTCCCTGCAGGCTCTCCATCTTCTCCACCACGTCTCTAGGTGCCAGGCCTCCACGGTCAAAGTGCGGGGAATTAAAAGAGTCTATCTAATGAGAAACTAAGCCTTCGGGGGCTGTCAGGGGCTCCCCAGAACATGTTTTCTACCAGGTGACTGTCAAACCGTACGCAGCCACCGGTGAGGAGGCCTAGTGTGAAGGGCCCAGGTGCCAGCCGCCTGTCCCACTGGACGGGCAGCGGCTGCGCTGGGGCCGAGGGGCCGCCCTCTGGGCTTAACAAGGCAGGTGAAGCCAGACGGAAGGCTCAGGGTGCCTGACGTCAGATGCCAGAAGCGGGTGGTCTGGGGACGAAACACAGACAGCAGCTAAACCCAGCGGTGCGCAAGCACCGGCACAGGCCGCCGGCGCGGGGCCGCAGTGGGGACGGAGGGGCCTCTCCCCTCGATTCGGTCACCTTCAAGGAACGTGTCGAGCCAGAGGCTCAGAAGGAAGTCGTTCCCCTCTCTCTGCTGCCTCCTTGGGTCTCAGCAGGAAGAAAAAGGCACCAAGTAAGAGCCCTGGCTGGACCAGCGGCCCCGCGGCTCGGGGGCAGCTGCCGTCAGCGACACCTGCCTCTTCTCCCCAGCGGCGCGTCTTCAAAACGCCAACTCTGCAGACGAGCGCTCCGGGCCTGCACGGCAGCCAGCCTGCTGCGCTACGGCGGTAAAACGCAGGCGGACTCAGGAGGGAAGAGATGGGAAAGCAGCAGAGGCCGTGGCGCGCAGCCCGCAGGCAGCTCTGTGCGTCGCGGGATCGCGGACGCCCCGCGCCGGAGGGCTCTGAGCTCCCTACGGAACTGAAACAAATGCAACTGTCCTGATCCTGGGGCCAGACACTGAAGGAAGCGGTTTCAGTGCAAACTCCATCTCCTATCGGTAAGCCTCTTGGGAAGAGCCACTGCCCACAGGACTTAGGAAGGACTTCGACCCGGCTCCGCAGCCCTGCTCTGACCCTGAATCTCTCTGCAGGCAACCCCCACCCGGGGCCCACCAAAGCCAGGGGCGCAGCGGCCACACACTCAGTCCTGTACCTGCAGAGGCATGACCTCATTGGTGACCAGAAACAGCAGGAGGTGGAAATCCGAGATGGTGTCCAGGAACACGGATGAGGTATTCTGGGACAGGTAGGTGGCCAAACTGTGGAAGTCCTACAGGGCGAGGCAGAAGGAAGCACGTGAGCACGAGCATCCCAGGACAGCCCCCGTGCTGAGCCCAGAGAGCGATCTGCCCCTCCTGAGTCCCGGCTGGGTGCAGAGTGCGGACACACATCTCTCTCCAGCTGGTTCTCAAGCACCAATGGGAACCCGGGCCAGAGGGACACGCAGCTACGACACGCGCTCTGGCCTGTCTTCCAGGAAGGTGCTCTCCACACGTGTGACTCATGGACGTGTGTGTGCGTGAGAGAGAGAGAGAGTGTATGTAAAGCTGGGCCGGCTGCTGACACACTCAGGGAGCCCAAAAGTGCCCCCACCGCTCCAGGAGGAGAGTGGGCTACGAGGAGGGCTCACTCTGCGGCTAGAAAACCTGTGTGCACTCGCTGTCCAGCTGCGCTGCTGATCTGTGTGTGCGCGTGTGTGCTGGGGGCAAGATACGACACACCCACCTTCAGCAAAACTAACCCAGGAGGTCAAGAGCACCGCCCAGTAAGTGAGTGGCTCTGCACCTCTACAAGCACCCCGAGTCCCCGCACAGAGGGGCCATGAGAAGAGCAAAGCGTCAGAGTGCACCACACTTCCCAAGGACTCTATACTCTTTCCTGCGACGCCTGTAACAACTAGGACCTAAGATGAAATGCGTGTCCCAGACGGCCCGTGTAGCAGCAGGAGGCAAGTGGGCAGCCAAGGGCAGGGCCCAGCACACAGGACGTGTTGCGTGGGATCCGCACTACGTGCTGGAAAGCCCAGGTAGCCAGACCACATGAGGCCCACACGGCCCAGACCACGCATGAGAAACGCAGCAGCAAGTGGGTGCCTGGGGGGCTTAGTTGTGAAGCGTCTGCCTTCGGCTCAGGTCATGGTCCCAGGGTCCTGGGATCAAGCCCCGCATCGGGTGCCCTGCCAAGCTGGGAGCCTGCTTCTCCCTCCCTCTCTCCCCCTGCTCCTGTTCCCTCTCTCGCTGTGTTTCTCTCTGTCAAATAAACACATAAAGCCCTAAAAACAAAACAAAACAAAACAAAAAACCGCAGAAGGTGACAGGGAAGCCAAAGCAAACATCGAGGTGCCACGTCTCCACAAGGAGATGATGCTTGTTAATGAACAGACACTAAAGAAGTTGTTGGCAGAGGACACAAGTGTCAAACACATTTGAGGAAGAAGAAGTCAACTGAGAACGGCCCGTTGGCAGATCCACAGCCCCGGGGCCTTACGGGGATTTGCCACAGCGGTTATCTGTCAGCCCCAGCCCCGGAGAGGATGTCACGTGACCAACTGAGTCTCAGAAAATGTCCTAGCTGGGCTTTGTCACAAGAATCAATGGGGAGAGTGTGGAAGCTTGGTACTTTCTGGAGAAACATCACTGACACTAGGTAAACAAGCAGGCGTCACGTTAAATCATGTCTGTAAAGACGAGCTTACCTGTGTCTCACCCAGGACGTCCCGGTTTTCAATAGGAAACGGACTTTGTGAAATGGAGAAAGTATGAACTGGGTCCTTGGGGAAGGTTGTTGTGATCTAGCGAACAAACACACAAGCCTCACTAAACCGTGCTGTAAGCAGAGGTGAGGGCGGCCCGAGTGCGGCACCCTCCCGAGCTCCGGCCTGAGTCCTGTTCCCCACTGGACACCATGGTCCCCCGTTAATGACACCCGAAACGAAAGCCCTGACACTGGTCCCGGAAGCCAACGTAAGGATCACTGTTCACACGCTCAAGGACGGGGCCATCCGCGGGCCGTCCGTGTGTGCGGGCTTCCGTCGGCCTAGCCGCTCACAGAGAGGCCCTCGCCCGGGGAGGAGCCGGAGGGTGAGCCGTGGGGACACGACAGATGAGGCCAGAACTCTCAGGTCAGCTGGGACGGTCTGGGAGACGCAGCGACCTCCAGAGAGCCTGCTGAGGCCCCTCGGGACGTCGGGCCGCACCATGTGGATTCGGCAAGAGAAGCCACGCTTCTGACGTGCGGCACAGGGCACGCCTGCTCTCCCCGCAGACGGGCTGCGGTCAAGAGCTCGTGTCCAAAACGGCACCCAAGCCCTTCGTCTGGCGCAGACGCGCTTTAGGAACCAGAGAGGGCGTTTCACGTCGAACGCTGCATCGACAGAAACCGCAGGGGCAGCGGCAAGTGCGCAAGAACCCATGCGGACACAGGTCCGCGCTCCCCGGCAGACGCGCCTCCCCGGCAGACGCGCCTCCCCACGGAGGCACCCAAGTGTGACCGTCAAACACCCTTGGGTTGACACAGCCTTTCCTCTCCAACAGGACACTAGCGCCAGCAGATCACACCTCGTCCACACTCAGCAGAGCTATTCTGGTTCCTCTGGGACTATCGGTAAGAGCGAAGACGCGCTGTTCCGGTCTGTTCTCTGCATCAGCGACGGCCACGGGCCGCTTCGGGCTGGCTAGCCGGGATCCGGGCGACTGCACCAGCGCGCTGGGGGGCGGCTGAGCGGGCAGCGACGTCGGAGACCTGACCCCGCTGCTCTTCTAAAGGTGTTACTTTTAGTCCTGTCTGCACCCAATGTGGGGCTTGAACTCGCAACCCCGAGGTCGAGTCACACACTCCAGCAACCGAGACCGTAGCCAGGCGCCGCTCCCGCTGGTGTTTTACTGACGAGACCGTGTAGCCCGCAGACTCCGGCCACCGTGCCGCGCACGGCCGCGTGGCCTCTGTCAGCCACGGAGCCTAAGCCTCGGCCTCTCCTTTAGAGCCAGAGCCGCCCCCGGGAGCCGGCATCCACCGAGGTTCAGACGCACACGCCCTTACCCAGGCCAGCGGCCGCCACGGTTCCACAGAGGGCGGGAGAGCGACCCGCGTGGGGGAAACGAAGGCCTGTGGACAGCACAGCACCTCCACTCCGGGAAGGCAGACTCAGTGGGGGGCCGGCAGCAGCAGACGCCCACCACGCAGTCGGTGTGGAGCTAAGAGACGTCTCTGCCCGGCTGGTAGCCTCCCCTTCGCGCAGGACAGCGAGAGTTCACCAGGCAGTCTGTGACTGCCGCAGACCCCACAGAGGGGAGCAGGGCGCCCGGCACCAAAACCACAGCCCCCAAGCCTGTCTCAGGTCATGTAGCCGATGCCCAGACACCCCGAACCTCACCAGCACAGCAGCCTGGGGACGGTGGCTCACGCCCTCTCTTGCCTGAGCCTGCTCACGGGGCTCGACGAGGGGCCGAGCACACTGGCCTGGACACCTGCTCTCAAGGGCCTGCTCCAACCTCGTTCCGCAACAGAGAGCGTGGCCGTCACGAGGCGGAATGTTCCTTCACGACCAAACTCTACTGACACAGCACACTGAAGCAAGAACTCGGCTCTTTTGTAAAAAAGAAAGGGGTGGGGAGGCCACGGGGAGAGAAGACCTCAGAAAGCTGCCTTTAAATCACGCCGACTCCTCCTAAGTGCGCGTTCCGTCCATCTGTTTCCATCTTAATGACACCCCGGGTGCTCTAAAACACAGACGCCTTCACGGCCGAGGTAATAAATGTGTTCTCAGGAGCTGCCAACTGGAATGGCGCACCGATGGGCTTGGCTCCCGGGGACCCGTTGCTCCAAACGCGAAGATATTTTACAGCCTGAATCACGTGCCCTTCCTGAGCCCAAACGTGGCCCGGAGAGAACCTGGCAGGTCGCAGTTAGGAAGTGAGTAGCCGCCCGTCCCCGTGGGACAGAGCTGACTTCTGCGAATGTGCCGCGTTCACATTGGAGCCCGCTGCCACCCTCTGGCCTGGGGCCACACCTCCACGAGCAGAGCACGCTCCCAGAAAGGAGGCGAGACTGGGACGGGGCCTCGTAGCCAGCTGCCCACTGGGCTCCTGCAGCTCCCCAGAAGCGAGCACACAAGCACGTCACTCAAGGACAGTCGCGGCTGGCCCACCGCGAGCCCGGCTCTGGCAGATGAGCTGTGACCAGGGTCGGACCTGCACATGCTGACCTCCAGAGGCTGCCTGACCAGGTTGGTGGACCTGCACTTAGTTTGGAAGAAGGTAAACCCTAAGTTGTTTTTAAGGAAATGAACTGAAACTAGAAGGAAAAGCCCTTAGAATCGCCCACTCTTCAGGGATGACAGGAGCTCAATGATGCATCTACTTCCAGGGTGCCCGTCCTGGGCCAAGCAGAGGGGCAACTGTCCAAGCCACCGCCGCCCGCACCCGGCCTGCATCTGGCCGCCCAGGGTGGTGGTGTGTGCCGCACACTTACGTCTATGATCAGATACTCCACGGGCAGGGGCCGGGCCAGCTGGGTGATCTCATTGCCAAACTTGTCTATGTCCTGAAACGGGAAACAGAAGTGAGCGGGGTGAGGGAAGGTGTGCCGACCAGAGACGCGCTTTGTCTTTCGCACGCTCGTCGTCCTACCTTCTCAACGATTCTAGGTCTCGCTGAAGTGCAGGAGAAGCAGAGAGGAGCTGTGCGTGTTTTTGCCACAAAGCCACCTGCCGTCGCTTCCCAGAGCTCGGCGCGGCGGCCACACCATGAAAAGCGGCCGTGCTCTGGGCTAATGGAGCGTCTCCACTGGGAGCCTGCGTCACAGCCCCTGACCCAGCACACTCACTGGCCCAGGGCTCCCTCCTGCCTGCCGCCCACTACACCCGCCTCGCTGCTTCCCACCCGCGCGGCCCTCGGTCTCGGGTCTGAGCCGAGTGACCCCACTCGCACCCCTGAAGCCTGACTTAATCCCGAACAAACGTCAGGAAAACAAGGAATACGCAAATGAGCACACACACAAACGCGCAGGCGGGGAAACCCCCCACCAATCTGTCAAAGTCTGAACTCGTTTCGCTTTGTCAGATGCACAGAACATAAAGTTTAGTTATGGGGAAAAACGGCCAGCAGGTGCTCATTAATCATAAAATGACAATTATATCTGATTATGTCAAACATGCTGAGTTCAAACAGAGCTCTAGAAATAAATTCCTAAGAACCCACACTTTTCATTAAAGATTCTGTGAGAGGGGGTCATATTTTCTATCTAAATCATCACTTAACATCATATAAATCATTCACTGAGTCATATATAAATGGTACATCCATAACTTCCAATTATGGGGCCTTCCATAAAAGTTTACATTGATTAAAGCCCCCAGACCCAATGGATGCCCAGCGGACCCCCCTGAGGGGCACAGGCCACCGCCGGGCCACCCCGGCACATCCCACCCTTCCGGGGACCGCAGGGACGCACGCCGTCTTCCGAAACAACCTTCACAGGCGTTCCTGAGTTGAAGCAAGTCCATCATCCTGGCGGCAAGTCCAGAGGTCCTATTTGGCCCAGATTCTTTTGTTTAGAAATTCAGGTTCCTGGTCTGCAATCCATCTGCTGACCCCTGCCTTCCGGACCTTCTCCTTGATTCACAACGTAAGGGAGCTGCCAACCAGAACCTGCTCCTCTGCTCTCCCGGAAAGCGGTCCGATCTGTCTAACCAGCGAGCCGCACAGGCACCATCAGCACCCATCAAAGGGCGCGTTCCTGGAGGCGACACACTGCTTTGTCTGTCGCCTTCCTTTGACGTTGCGGTTACTTTCCAGCCCATGTGACAGATGGCCGGCTGCCTTGCTTTGCTTTCTGTGGCCATCAGGCTGGGCCCAGCTTTCTCAGGCTCTACCGGCTGGGACGGGGGCAGCCCCGAGTGGATCCTGGGGCCCCGGAAGCGGCAGTTGCCCAGTGGAGGAGATGTGGTAGGAGGCGGGAGTCAAATCCAATCCAACTAAATCACAAGCTTGCCCCTACCAGAAACATTGTGCAACAACTCACGCATAATTATCCCATCTGGAATTCATCTTCCAACCTAATTACGCTCTAATATGCAGAAACATTCTTCCAGCACCTGTTCGCTTTTATCTTCCCCTCTAGGGAATTTTCTTGTTAAATGCCCCTCTCTCTTTTCTGTGTCATGCTATTCTCTTTCAAATTTAACTGCCCAATTGTACCTTTCTGCTCCCCAAGAAAATAAAGGTGTTGTATCCCTCTCTGTTCCCCAGGGGGAAAACAGGTGACTTCTCTCTCTCCCCCACGCCTCCACACCGAAGTCTCTGCCAGCCAGTCCCCAGCCCTATGCAGCATCTCAAAAGCACTTACTTTTCACGGGCGTCAGCAGATGTCGGGCCGGGAGAGGAGGGCCTCCTAATCCCCAGGTTGGCAGCTGACGGAGTGTCAGCGGTTTCATTTCCACAGGGAGCACGCCTCTGGGAGAGGCAGGGGCTGAGGTCCCTGGTGCCCCGGCCCCTGCCTCGGCCGTGTCTGCAGACCATGGCTCCACCGCCATGTTACCGCGGAGCAGTCCAGGGAGCTCCGTGCTCGTGCCAGGACAAGGGCAAGCGTCACTGACCAGGGCGCCATCTTGCTTGGAAAAGGCAAATGAGGGGCGCCTGGGTGGCTCAGTTGGTTGAGCGGCTGCCTTCGGCTCAGGTCATGATCTCAGGGTCCTGGGATCGAGCCCCGCACTGGGCTCCCTGCTCAGTAGGGAGTCTGCTTCACCTTCTGCCTGCTCTGCCTACCTCTCCCTCCCTCCCTCTCTCTGTGTCAAATAAATTTTTAAAAACCTTTAAAAAAGAAAAAAAAAAGGCGCATGGAATCCCTACTGTGTGACTCTTCTCTTGAAAGAACCGGCAAGAAGGGTAACAGGTGACGCCAGCAGCTTGATCTGACTTCATGGGACAGAGAAAAAAAATCAAAGTTCTCAGAGCAAAGTTTCTCCAAGAATCACAGTCTAGGAAAGAGCCCTGTCGATAAGCACCTCCAGAGCGTCTGTTAATGCCAACAGAACCAGTAGCTGGCATGTATTAGGTGCTCATGGTGCACAGTCCAGGCTAGACACCACATGTATACAACCACAGGGTCCCAGCACATGGAGACACCAAGTGCTACCGGGTGAGTCATGTGCCTGAGATCGAGAGCCTGGTAGGGACAGAGGGGATTAGAGACCGGGTCTGTCCACATCTCAGCTCAGGAGCTCAGCATCAGAACCGGGCACACTGTCCTCCACATGGCGCTGGTACCAGGAGGTCACACATCCCAACACCACTCCTCCCCCTGGGGGAGGGGGCTGTGGCCACAGACCCCAGTCCTGACTGCGGCCGTGCTGAGCAACACTCAACCTCTAACGCAAAGAAGAGAACGGGCACCACAGGTTCCACAAAGTCCTTTCTCCTAGAGTGGATGTTATGCCAATACGTCGTTCAGAATCGCTTCTCTTGCAATTTCTTCATCTTTCTTTCTTTCTTTTTTTAAGATTTTATTTATTTTCAAGAGAGAGCAAGAGCGAGAGATTGTGAGAGTATAAACAGGGGGAGCGCAGGCAGCGGGAGAGAGAGAGAGAAGCAGGCTCCCCGCCGAGCAGAGAGCCCAACGCGGGGCTCGACCTCAGGGCCCCGAGATCATGACCTGAGCAGAAGGCAAACGCTTCACTGACTGAGCCACCCAGGTGCCCCAAAAAAGGATCTTTGAAATCGGAAACTACTTCACCTTTTGTAGGAAAAACATAAAGAAAAGGGCCGCCTGGCACGTGTCTGCAACACATGACGACACACAGCACAGCACGTGTAAACACACAAGCACCCGACAGACAATGCAGAAACAACGAGCTGCCTCCCAAACGCCCCCGTGCCCCCCCAAGGCAAGTCACAACGGGTTCAGAAGACCCGGGGACAAGGCGGGCACCGAGCAGGATCTGGCGAGCAGCACTGCGCCCGCGCATGGCCAAGGGCAGGAAGGTCTGCGGCCCAGCCCACACGGATGAACTGCGCCCCCCTCTTCCTGGGGATCTGGGAGAACGCAGCACACCCCTAAACAGCTCTCCCTCCACAAGGGACACACTGCACATGCCCAGAGTGAGCTATGGGATGACCCAGGAAGCACCACGGAGAGCACCCGGCACTAGGCAGGCTCCCTGAAGGAGGGACACCCCCCCCACCGGCTATGTGCCCTCCTCCTCATGACCTGTGGGACCCCACCTTCCTGCCCCACCACCTCCCTGTCCTCTCACCTCCTCCAGGGTTTCCAACGCAAGTAATGCCACAAACGGCTTGCTGGGCTTTGCTCCTGTCCCACCAGGCCAGACCTCAAACACCGAACACTGGCCCCTGGCTCTCAGTATGCTATTCACCGCAGGTTCTGGATTCAGCCTGGATTCCTCCCTGCCATCCCGGAGCCCAAAGGCCACAGGGAGAAGACATATGCCCCTGAACTACAGCACAAGCCTTCTCACTGGGTTCCCCAACTCCCCTGAAATGATCTTCAGCAACACTGGCCTCCCGCACGCAACCTGCTTTCCAGCGCTTTCCTACCACACCTCATCCTGATTTCAGGCCCGCCTCCCACCTCCCTCCTGCTGCCCCCCACCCCCCCGCCCCGGCCCGGCTCCCGGCATGAGGCTTGTGCTGTGAAACCCTCCCACCTCCGCATCCCGTCCAGCAGGGACGTCCCAGAACTACCTTCCATGCCTCTGGCCATGTCCTCCTACCACCCGCCTCACTATCTCAGCACCCCGGAGTTACCACCGAGCCTCCGCTCCCAGACGTGTGCGCTCCGGACAGGCTCCTCCCCACCTGGCTCTCACAGTCTGGGTTCCGTAGCGCCCACCGCACCACACTGGGGCGCCCCCCAGTCGGCCCACAGACAGCCCGCAGGAAGACCCCAGAGTGACCTGCCCACCACTACCGTCCCGGGACCCAGCGGTGACACCTGGCACGGTCTCTAGGCCTGGACCGCGTGCGGAGGCCACAGACCCGCTGACGGCGCATCCATGTGCACACGGCGGGCCTGGAAGGGCAGGTGAGAAATGGTGCCTGGTGCCTGTTTCCTACAACCAAAACTCTCTGATTTTCCACAATAAACAAACGTTTGATTTCATACAGGTAAAATGTCCCGGACGTTAACTTAGAGACAGACCTGCACTCGGGATCCACAGGACACTGAGCTCCGACACAGCCCCTCGAGGCCCTGCTGCCCGTCCTCAGCCGTCCCTTCAGCCGCTGTCTAGACACACTTCCAGGCTCCCCGCAGCTCTGCCTGTTTCTGTCCCTCTCTCAGCTGATGACTGGCTTCCCGTGAGCAAACCGGTCCTCCAAGACCGCCCATCCCAGCCTTCCAGCAGCCGCCCGCCAGCTCAGTGTCCACAGACGCCCCCACCTGCACCCCCACCCCGTCTCTCTAAGCCCCAGAGCTCGCCCACCACCAGTCACCCTTGCCACGGGACCAATGCCAGTAGCACACACATACGGGTTATTTCTCTCATATTTAAAAAACCCCCAAACACGCAAGCACCTTGACCCGAC